TGCAAAGTAGTAAACAAGATGACACTTGTGACATCATTGCTTACTACGTGTGCAATCTGTGAATGATCACAGAGGTCACATGGTACAAGGCTATTCACAACAGCCTTGTACCATGTGACAAGGTGTGACCAATCACAGCTCACTCAGTATTTCTCAATGGCTGCAAGGTTGCAGACAGCGAGAAAGAGAAATGATTGCTTTTACATCCTGTATGGGTGTAAAAGCAATCACTGTAAAAAAAAAAAAAAAAAAATCTTCATCACCCCCCACAAGTAGTACAGTGTTTTTTTTTTTAAAAAAAAAAAAAAAAAAACAAAAAAAAAAAAAAAACCACATAAATAATATAAAACAAAATAAAAATGTAAAAAAAATGTTTAAAAATTATAATTTTTGGTTATAAACTAATTTGGTTAATTTTTTTTTACTAAAAATATAACGGAATACATTTTGGCCAAGATTTATGATGAAATATTATTTATTTGCAAAATATTATAAGAAAAACACTTTTTTTCAAAATTTTTGCACTTTTTCATTTACATTGCAAAAAAAAAAAAAAAAAAACCCAGTGGTGAATAAATACCACCAAAATAAAGTTTTATCTGTCTCAAAAAAATGGTAAAAATTCATATGGGTACAGTATTGCATGACCGCGCAATTGTCATTCAAAGTGTGATAGCACTGAAAGCTGAAAATTGGCCTGGACAGGAAGTGGGTAAAAGTGTCCGGACAGGAAGTGGTGAAACATATCCAATAATTTTTTTTTTTATTCATACATTTAGGCCAAAATGTATTCTGCTACATATCTTTTGTAAAAACAACAAAAAAAACAATTGTCAGAGTAATAGCGTCTACAAACGATGGAACCACAAAACAAAACCACAAAAAAAAAAAAAACAAAGTATATACATCACAGGAGTCAAACTGGCGGCCCTCCACCTATTGCCAAACTACAAGTCCCATGAGGCATTGCAAAATTGACAGTTACAAGCATGACTCCCAACGGTAAAGGCATGATGGGACTTGTAGTTTCGCAACAGCTGGAGGGCCGCCAGTTTAACACCCCTGATATACATAATGGAATTTACGCAACTATGATGCTATACGGGTAATGGCAGTGATCAGCGACTTATAGTTAAATTGTGATAGTGTAGCTGGCAATCTGGCGCTAACAGCATTGGCTAGGAAGTTCACTAACTGACACTGACATCAGTAGTGACACTAATACAGTGATCAGATATAATACTGTGCACTGTCACTTTACTAATGACTGGCTGGGAAGGGGTTAACATCAAGGGGTTAACTGTGTGCCTAACAAGTGTATGGTGTGTAATATGTGCTGCTTTTTCTAAGGGATTTGACAGTTTTTTTTTTTTTCTTCCTGCTTTGCTGTGATTGGCTACAGCCGATCAGCAGGTCAAAGCCATAAATCATTGGCTGGGACCTGCTGACAAAATTACACTGTAGCCAGTGACCGCGTGTGTTAGCGGGTGCACCCCAAACCCGGAAGAAGCTGGATCACATGCACATACATGATCCAGCCTGGTGGTTCTAGTGGTTCTGCATTATGGGAACCTGAAAGTCTTCCTGTGTACAGTTCCTCCTATAGGGTGGCTCCTTGCCTTCCATGACCAAGACTATGGTGTGAACACAAAAGCTGCCACTGACACGGGTAGCTTTGTCTATGAACTGCAGCACTCCACCCTGAGACTGCAGCGGCTTAGATGATCTCACGCTGCAGCTATGAGACTCAAGTTTTATTAGTTTTTAAAAGTACAGGGTATTTGTCAACCAATAATTTCATGAACTGTTACGACTGTTATACATCCGTATTAGTGGTGCACCGAAATGAAAATTCTGGTACCGAAACCGAAAATTTAAAGTGCACTTGGCCAAAAACCAAAATGCGCAGTTTTTAAAAATGAATATATATTTTTTTGGAAAAAAATACACTGATTAAAAAACACAAAAAAACCCCAATATATATACCCCTATTTTTTTGGAAACTATGAAAGAAGATGTTACGGTGAGTAAATAGCTACCCAGCATCTCACGCTTTAAAATGGCGCACACTCGTGCAATGGCGTGAAACTGCGGTACTGAAAAAGCTCCATAGGCGATGCTTTAAAAATTTCTACACGTTAGCAGTGTAAAGTCACAGAGGAGGTCTAGTGTGAGAATTATTGTTCTGATGTTCGTGGCAATACCTAACGTGTGTAGTTTGAACACAATTTACATATGTGGGTGTGGCCTACGTATGTGTTTGCTACTACGTGCGAGCACAGGGGGATGGGGGCACTTTAAACTTTTTTTTTTAAATTATTTATTTAATATTTGGGTTTTTTTGGGGGGTTTTTTGCATTGTCCCTTTAAAAAACACAAGAAATGCTTCATTGCTTGTGATAGAAATAATTAGTGACAAGTCCTCTTTATGGAGAGATATGGGGTCAATAATGCAGGCCATAGATGGGTTGAAAATCGACCCATTTTTCGGCCGAAAATAAAATCGGCCCATTTTCGGATCGTTGGTAGGCTAATTGTTCGGCCGTTTTTCGGTATTTTGGCAGATTTTTTTTATCGGTAAAGTTGGAAAAAAATTGGCTGATTTTGCCGATCGGCCGATTTTCGCGGCAATGATGGGCAAATCGGCCGATCTTTTTACCGATAAAAAAAATCTGCGCATGAGCAGTGACCTGCAAGAGGAAGACAAAAAGAAGAAGAGGATGAAGAAGAAGAGGATGAAGAAGAAGAGGATGAAGAAGAAGAGGAATTCCAGTCCGGCAAAAAGTGTCCCTGCAGAGAGCTCCGCTATTTCTTTGACAATTCCTTGACATTTATAGCGGCTGCAACATTGTATCTATTTGTTTCCGAATAAAAACATCTGTATCCGAAATGGATACAAATAGATACAATGTTGCATCCGCTATAAATGTCAAAGAACTGTCAAAGAAATAGCGGAGCTCTCTGCAGGGACACTTTTTGCCAGCTGTAGATGGGATGAAAATCTGCCCATTTTTTTTTTTTTTTTTATACCGTTGCTGGTAACGTCGGCCGCTTGAACAACTGATTTTTCGTTTTTTAAAGAAAAATCTTCCGGTTTTCTCTCCATCTATGCCATTATTTTTATTTATTTAATGTTTGGGGTTTTTTTTTGTTTTTTTTTTTGCACTGTACCTTTTTGAAAAAAAATGTTTTTATCACTTTTAAGTAATTTTTTTGAATTTTTTTTTTTTTTTTTGCAGCAGTACTCCTGTTTATTTCCTTTTACTTTCTGTCCCTAGGGACACAGCATACAGTAAATTGAGCCCCCTTTGGAAGATTCTCCCCTCGCCTCCTGTTCCTTTTATTAGTCGTAGTTTTCTAAGGTAATGCCAAGTTTTAGTGTTCAACGGGCCCCTTATCAGGCCTTGAGAGTTTTTTCTGAATGTAGAGGAGAATGCAGTGATAAGCAGCCGGATAAGATCCTTCATTCAGCAACCTACCTGACAAACCAGTGATTGGAGGTGGCTGTCTATTTATTCTGCAGCTACATATCTATTCAGACCCAGATCCTGTAAAAAGTCCAAACCCGCCTGAAGAGTGCCTTTTGATTTTCTAAATGCTTTGCCATTATCCTGAAATCCTCCGCCTAATAAACTGTATCTGTACTATTGGAAACCTTGTGGCGCCCTCATCTCTTTCCACTTACAGACTCCATTCCATGGACCCAGCCCAGGGCCTTGGCATGCTGGACCACTGCGGCCATCTTCGGGCAGCACAATGGCTAAATGGTTAGCACTTCCGCCTGGCAGTACTAGGGTCGTTGGTTCAAATCCCAACCACGGCACCACCTGCCTGGAGTTTGCATGTTCTCCCTGTGCTTGCGTGGGTTTCCTCCGGGTACTCCGGTTTCCTCCCACACTCCAAAGACATGCTGGCAGGTGAATTGGCGCCTGTCTAAATTGGCCTTAGTATGTGTATGTATGAGTGTGAGTTAGGGACCTTAGATTGTACCCCCTTGAGGGTTAGGGACTGATGTGAATGTACAATATATACGTAAAGCGGTGCGTAAAATTGACGGCGCTATATAAGTACTTGAAATAAATAATAAATAAAATCTTGGTTCCTATTCCCAGGCAGCAAGGCTGAATACACGGAGTGCCAGGTTATGGGCACATTGGAGAGCTGCCTCGGTACAACCACAAAATGTTTGTAAAATGTTCACCTATCCCGTGTCTGCCACCATAAAAACCCAACAGAGGTTCTTTCTAAAAGGGACATTTTCTTCAACAATGTGTTTTTTTTCTTTTGAAAGTCAGGTGTGGTTTGTGTACATTTTTTTTTTTTTTTTTCTTTTTTTATATTCATGTTGTACCTAATTTTTTTTTTTTTTTTTTTTTTTTCTTTTTTTACAGCTGTGTAATGAACTTTGCCTGAATGAAAAAGATCAGATTATGCATTATGCCGGCGCTCTTCACAAATACATGAAGGTGGGTTATGGAGTCCTTAAAGCGGACTTTCATCCTTTTTATTTTTTACACTCTTCTTTTTCAGAATTGGGAATAATTTTGCTTTCTTGTTTAAAGTGTTACTAAAACCACATCAATACAATCAGTCTGTAGATGCAGTAAAGCATGCTTGTTATGCTCACTGTGGAACCTAAGGGGTTAATCCTTGGCATTGTGTAAAAAGGCTGTTTGATCCTGTCTTCTCCTTCTACTGTCCCCAATCTATCTGCTGATAGTAAAGAGCTCTAGGAGTCATTCTGCACATGCTCTGTTTGGTGTGTTTTGCTAGAGAGGTTTTTTTTTTTTTTTCTTGGAGAGTGCATGTGATCAGCACAAGGACAATCAGCATTGTCCAGACAGAGGTCAGGGGTCCTGCATCCTCCTACAGCAGATGGAAAATTCCTCTGCTGGACACTGATAGAAGTCACAAGATTGCTAGATACTGCTGATGAGAAAAGGTATTTAGCAGTTTTATATATAATAAAAAATATTGCATTTCCATGTTCTGTGTACTGT